TTGAGATGGTAAGCGATTAATGAGATAAACTGCAGTAGATAAAGCTTCAGTCCAAAATTTAGCTGGAACAGAAGATTCTATCAGTAATGTGCGCACGATATCCAATAGATGTCGATTTTTTCATTCAGCAACTCCATTTTGCTGCGGTGTATAGGGACATGACGTTGTGAAACAATCCCTTTGTTCTGGATAAATGTTTGAAACTCATGAGACATGTATTCACCGCTATTGTCAGATCGTAATGTTTTAATGCGAGTGGAGAACTGAGTTTCAACATTTGCTAAAAATATTTAGAATACAATAAATACTTTTGTTTTGGCACGTAAAAAAATAGATCCAAGTAAATCTACTGTAATCATCAATAAATGTCACAAAATATCTATATTGAGCATGTGAAACAACTGGTGTAATTCCTCAAACATCACTATGAATAATGTCAAAAAATTTATTGACACGACTGCCTGAACTAGGAAAAGGTAATGTCTTGCTTTTTTCAAATTTACAAACAGAACAGTCAACTACTAAATTTTTATCTGTAGAACAATTTGTTCTGTAGAACAAAAAATATCACTTTTATGTAAATGTTTCAACACCATATCATTTGGCCTAGTCTTTTATGCCAAATGTCTACCTTATTCTCAACAACTAAAGATGCTAATGAAATATTCTGTTCTGAGGAACAATGGAACAATAAATTGCAATGGAAACAGTCTACCCACTTTAGGCCCCTTCGTTATCACCTTCCCAGACACTTGATCCTGCACAATACAACCATCACGAGAAAAATGTACTTATTATCCACAATTTGACCAATAGAGAGTAAGTTAGTAGATAATTTAGGAGAAACCAAAACATGTTTGAAGGATGAGTTAATATCACTAGTTGTTGTAATTGGAATATTATTTCCATTAGCAACCTGAATACGTTGAGTACCAGTGTATGGTTGTTGGTTATGTAATAGCTCAGCAGTGCTAGTCATATGATTTGTGGCCCCTGAATCAGCAGACCAAGGAGAAGCAACTGAAGAAATAGTTTTGCCTTTCCAGGCCTTGTAGGCCGAGAGCAGAAAATGCAGAGAGAATCATCTGTTGAACCATATAAGGTGTGACAGTTGATTGATTATTGTCAGCAACAGTAGAAGTCGAGGCAGGATTGTCGGATACCGTGACATTAAGTGCTTGAGGTTTACGATTTTGGGGTAGTGTTGGGCATTCCGTAAGAGTATGTCCCTTTTGCTTACAATAATTACATACCTTATTTTCACAATTCCGTGCAATATGACCAAATTTTTTGCAGCTGAAGCACTGCACTGGCCTCTTCCCTTTGGTCTTAGCAGCATATGCCACATTAATTATTTCTGATGATCCACCTATTGTACTGATAATAGCTTGTGTCGTCAATCTTTATTCTTCGTTCAATAATTGCCCAAAACAAACATCCAAACACGGAACTGGATCTCTGTTCAGCAACCCAGCTCGAGCAATCTCAAATTCAGGTCTCAGTTTCATTAAAAATTGATCACGACGACTTTCTTCATGAATAGCTTGAAGACTAGCTAAGTTCTCTTTTGACACTGTAGCATAGATAATATCAGTATATTCGCCCCATAAATTTAAAAAACCAGAATAATATTGTTCAATTGAAAGATTACCCTGACTATAATTATTCATGTCAAGCTCCAATTGAAAGCGTTTCGCAGAATTATCTTGATTATAAACGCGCTTCAAATATTCTCACATTTCTTTAGCTATGCTGAAGGATCGTAAATCGTTTACCATATGGGCCTTAATAGATCCAAAAATCTAGGAAATAATTCGAGCGTCCTTTGCTTCCCATTGACCAAGATCTTTTGTCTCCATAGGAGCTGGGGAAGATCCATCAATATGGCCCCAAAGCTCCTTCCCTTTCAAGAACATTCTGAGCTGAAATTCCCATGGAGCATAATTCTTTCCCGTAAATCTGATAGCTAAGATTTCAGAAGACATTTTAAATATATTAATCTCGATCAAAATATCCAAGATAAATAAAATTCAAAGGCTAGGGTCGAAGATCGAAGAGTGGTGATCGTGACGATCGAAGAGTGGTGATCGTGACGATCGAACGGAGTGGATCGCGACAGAACAGAGTGGAACAACAGATTGGAGCGACCAAAGGAGCGGATCGCTGCAGATTGCGGCACAGCAGGAACGAGCGACGGATCGCGACAGATTGCGGCAAGCGGATCGCGACAGATCGCAACAGGAGCGAACGAAGGGAGATCGCGGCAGGCGGATCGAAGGAGATTGCGGCATATCGGAGCGAACGAGCGACGAATTTCTTGTAATTGGAGTCGATTGGCTTGAGGCAGATGTTCGAAGATGTCGGATGAAGAAGATGTCGACGCAGCACCAGAGGACCGATCGAAGATGCCAGATGAAGAAGATGTCGCACCAGATGCCGTAAAACTCAGCACCAGAGGTCCGATAGAGGGGATTCGATCGGCTTGAAGCAGCGGTAGAACTCAAACAAAGTGGACGAAGACGCTGCAGAATTCAAAGACAAGAACGAGCGCTCCGGTGAGGAAGCAGTCGAAGATGCCGACTAAAGATAACAAAAGCTAAAATTTCAAGGATTCAGACTCTGATACCATGATAATATTTTGAGCAAATAGGCTGAATGTCTTTTCCTTTGCTTTCATTCCAATAAATAGTAGTTCGTACAATCTATTTTAGGTACATAATATTCAGTATATTCTAAATTAAGTAACTTAATTAATACATAATCATAATCTAAATAATTAGCTAAAAGGAAAGAATCCGTGTAAATATAATATTTCCCTCTTTGCAGTATTGCGAAGAAGGAAACTCTTTATTCTGTCTGATTTCTTTTATTCCTGATTGATAATTTTGGTACAGTAAATGAGTTAGTGAAGTCCGTTTTACAAAATTAGTGATTTTTATTAGTCTCAATTGCAGTCAAAATGTTTTGAATCCGATTAATATGACATCACATTCGTTGTTTGTCGTCTTCATCGTTTTCGATCATATTAATCATAGAAGCGTTTTTTTGGTAATTTTCATGATCCAGATGCATTGACAAAGTTTGTTTTGCAAATAAGTAATATTTGAGAGCCGTCGATTTTGCAATCAATAAATTTCAAAATAAACTTATGTGACTTTGCATCCAATGTCACCCATTTTCATCATATTCACTCGAATTGATAGCTAAGGTTTTCTTTTGGCAATTTCAATGCTCCAAGCATATCACTACAATTTGTTTAGCAAAATGAGCGATGCTTACATGATTTCGATCTATGTGATGCATCTCAATTCCGATTTGTGTGATATGGCGACTGTAGTCTAAAGTTTTCTTTGCATTCGATCGAATTAATCGATGAAATAAGTATGGAGGTCAACAGGTCACTTTAATTTCAGCAAACGTAAAATTGAATTTCATCAAGTTACACATGAAATTGAGTCAGGTTGGACTCAAATTTTAAAGTTGAGTTAATTGTCAAATTTAACTGGTTGAATCCCTCATTAAGGTAATAAGGCGTGTGCTAAAACTAGATTGTTTCATGTTACCATCAAGAGATAATGCCTGAACTTCTGTGCATCAAATCTAAATCTTTTTGTACATAAATTTATATTAAACAGAAGATATCTAGTGGATTTCTTTAAAATTCAGAAACTAATGAGGAAACTCAAGTGTCGTTATCTCCACAGATCAGAATTTCGATTTCATCTGGTCGGTAAGAATGCAGCAAAGTCAAAAGAAATGTTTCTTGCAGTGAAACAAAGTTGGGAAAGAGAAAATAAACACATTTCACCTGCTGATAAGCATGAAAACAGAAACCCGAAAGGAAACATCTGACATAGAATTCTCTCAGGCTCAAACCCTACGTAATAAACAAAACAAGGACAAATAAAGAACTATCTATGATCATTAAGAAAAACAAAATAAAAACTAAATGCATATATTTTCGTGTACATGATACTCACAGTAGGCTGCAAATAAGCTGGTGTGAACTTGAAACCTTCAAGAAATAGAGTTGCAGGCACTGTCAAGAAGAAAGACATAATTGTAATGATGGAGAACAATGAGATATTGTCTAGAGTTTCCTGCAAACGAACAATTTTTAAGTTCGGAATCACAATTAGAAACCAGATAATAATTGTCAGTAAGCAAAAATATAGATATCTGTAAATCATAACCCTAAACATTATCTGTCCAAACTAATGGTAATCATCAACAACAACTCTAATAAACAGTTTAAAATTGGGAAGTTTCAGTTGAACTCTAGATTTTCTTGAAGGAATTGGATAATAAGATGAATAAGGTTTTTGATGAAAATGAAACAGACCAAAATTCTACATTAAAATCTCCCAGAACAGGCCTTATCTGACGATTCCATACTATAACTTTCACATGGCCTGTTTTCAAAACAATTAAGAATTAGAGATACAATGCATTGAATCAGGGCTATTTCAAATACTTATACAATCTTGTATCATTTATGTGTTTTTTTACAAGGATAAAGTGGAGTTCGCCACGTCCATTTCATTACAACAAGAAATTCTTAGTATCTAGTTTTGTTGAATCCAGATTTGTTCTTGACTCAGACTCAGGGAATAGAGCGTAAACTAAAGAGAGAGAGAGAGAGAGTGAGTGAGTATGTGTGTGTGTGTTTGATGAATGAAAGAAATATATGAAAGGGGATATGAAAGGGGAGAGAGAGAGAGAGAGAGAGAGATTGGAAAGGAAACGCTGTATTGAAGGTCATCTTTATAGAATCAATGTGTCCAACACTCCCTATTACATTTACTTTTCTTTATTTATAATGGTCAAGTTCCTAATAAAATGACGCTTTTGGTCTTATCCTGCCCTAGATTCCAAGATTTGGGCTTTTATTATCTGTATGTCAACTTCCGATCGAATTGTTGGGATGCGGAGGAGGATATATCCGGCTTTAGATAATAGCATTCCAGCCATTTGGTTTCTCATATTTGACTTTGGTTACCAATCATTGGATGCCCGCTAATCTAGTTCCAAATGCTTTGCTTCGATCACTCAGTTTCGGGCACTTTACCTGGGTCACTCGTCCTCAGGCATTCAACCTAGGTCACTCCACCTCCGACACTCGAGCTTGGTCACTCAACCTCAGACACTCAAACTTGGCTTGCTTCCTTCTCAAGCACAATTTTTAACGAGTGGTGAGCTTTGAGCCCTTGGATTCACAATAGCATGAATTGTTCGATTAATGATGACATAAAAAGTTATTTTACAATTATACATATTTAGTTCCCCGATTCTTTCGCATCTTAGAAACTTGTGTTGTGACAAGACCAAGAGAATTAAATTTTCAATAATTAATCATGAAAATGAAAATAAATGCTCAAAATGGAACTACTTGTTGCCCCCACATCATAAGCCAGAGTCTTCAAGGCCTCGAGATGAGCATTGATATCCTCAGCCATCAAGTCATCCACATGGAGCGCAAGGACCATAGCCAGTTCAGCTGGCTGACTCAGTTGTTGAACTAGTTCTTTGTCGGTGGTCTGTCGGCCGTTTTATTGTTCAACTTCACTTTCGTAGTTTGAAAAGGTGATGATTTCGTGATTTTGAAAATAATTTAAATATAAATATTTTTTAAAGATTTTTAAAGAAGTAATGTTTTTTTTAATTTTTAAAATAAGTGAGACCAAACGAGTCTCACATTTTAAATAGCTTAGATGATTTAACACAACACTACAAGCAATACACTGTTGACCTCATTTTTGTGAGGTCTTTTCTTCTCCTCCTTAGAGCCTAGGTTCTAGCTCTAGAAATTCCTATGGACCATCTTAGAAAACTAGAATTGAGACTCACCCTTCTAGAAATTCCAGCCAATTCCTATTTTCCTTTGATGTCTAGCATCTTTGGCACAAGACCATCGTCTTATGAACGAGCGGTTATGGGCTATGTTGCGTAGATTCAAGGAAAATGTTCCAAATAGGACTTCAAGCCTTAGGAAAACATCGTCACGACCTTTT